CTCCCCCCCCCTGGGATCCCCCCCCATCTTTGCCCTACCCCCCCATCCCTTCCTGACTTCCTTCAGGATCCAGCTGAATTCCCACCTTCTGCAGTAGCCCTTTTCCAGCCCCTTGTCTAATGTCCCCTGGTTTTCCTCCCCTTCCCTGTGAGATCACCTTCCATTTACACTGGATGGATCTTGACCACACCTCGACATTTACATGTTGTCCGGTCTCTCTCACCCCCTCCACCCCACAAGAATGTGTGATCTCCTTGAAGGCAGTGAATGATTGTGCTTTTCTGAGGGCTTAGCACAGTGATTAGTACATAGTAAGTACTGACCAAGTGCTTATTGACTGACTGGTGGATCTCAGTCTTTTTAGAGCTGTGTGTGGTCCAGACCTAGAGTAAAGAAGGATCCTTAGGGGTCAGCTTTGAGGCTAGAAGTGTTTTTAGTGTCTGTTTGTTTACGGAGAGACTGTCGCCCTCTCGTTCCCTTGACTGTCTGCATGACAGCCTTTTAAAGGCATGGGCATGATGGTGGAGAGGTTGTGCTTATTAGCTGGCCTGTTTGAAAAAAGACTTTTATGTGTAGTCTGTTCTGAAGTCTTCAGAGCAAAGACAGGAGCTCAGTCCAAATGCACTGTGCTTTTTGGCTTCGTGTCTCGGGTAACAACACCCTTGAAATTCTCACAGCTGGTGAAAGAGCTGTTGTAATCCTTAATGCAGCATGAGGTCCCAAGGTTTAGTCACACTCGGTTTCCCAGCCCTGCCTTGACTTCCTTAGTACCAGGGGATGGTCTGCTTCCTGGGTTTGTGTGTGTTGAGGAGGCTTCTAGCTGTCCCCCCTGAGGCCCACAGCCCAGGCTGACCTGAATGGGCCTGTAACAGGTTCAGCTACAGCTCAGCCTTGGCTTTACAGCATCTGCCCCATCTTGGTTGTTGGATCGCCAAGTATATTAATAGCTGTAGTTCCCATTTATCTAGCATTTTAAGGTTCAAAAAGGACTTGTCAAAGGTCACACACAGGTAATAAGTACTGGAAGTGAGAATGGAACCCAGGACGTGTGCCTCAAGAGCCCAGTGCTCTTTCTACCATGAGACTGCCTCTACATAGCTTCCATGGAGACCCCTCAATGCTGCTCTAGCTTTTGTTTCTGTTCCTTAGAAAACTAAAAGTTCCCCTGAGCCTTAGTGTTGTCTGTCTAAAGTAAAGCAGTGTGTATTGGTGTCAAATGACCTTTTTCCACACATTTTTCCTTAGCCTGACATAGAGGTGAAGCCAGGGGTCACCTGTAGAGTTCAGTATTCTTGTGGCACCTCTGGAAGCTCTTCTCTCTGGAATTTTCCTTGTTCTTCCATCTGTTTCTTCTGTGCCTACTTGGGAGTTTTGTCTTCTTTCTTGTGACCATCCCTCAAAGTTTTGCGCTCATTAATTCATTCAGCAAATAAGTAGACAGTCTGCAGTGTTCCTCTGCCTTGGTTCTTGAGGGCCAGAGGAGGGAAGCAGGGCTTTCTCTTAGTCCTTGGAGCTCCTTTGCTCTCCTGCCCTTGGCCAGCTCCTCTGCTCCTTGAGCTTTGATGTGAGGGACTCCAGACGTGGAGCCGACGCCACTCACTTGCTTTTCAGTCCCATGCTTTCCACTACATTAAAAAGCTGCCTTTAGAAGACTCATCACAGGTCCTGCTTCTCCTCCCCACCCCCTTCCCCACCCACTCTTTGTTGCCTCAAGCTGCCCTTGCTCCAACCTCCCCAGCTATCAGCGTCTGCAGCATCTTTGACTTCACCACCACCTTCATTTCAGCAAAGCTGCATTAAGCCCCTACTGTTTACAAGACACAGCCCTGGTCAGGGGAAGAGGGTAGTTCTGTGGAGGCCATTCCAATTTGTATAGCAACAAATGCATTTCAGTGGGAATATGCTGTGTGTGTAGGGGAGTAGGGAGTGATGTGGCCTAGAAGGAAGGTGGCTCTAGATTGTAGAAAGCCTTAGAATGTCTTACCCAGCAGGCAATGGAGAGCCACTGAAGGCTTTTGCACAGTAGAATCCTGAGGCTGATGTACCAGAAGGGCACTCACTTGACATTTTGATAATCACGTGGTCCCATCTACTCACAATGTAATACTAGAGCGGAAAACTCTCTGGATTTTGAAGTCATAAGACTTAGGTTTGAATTCTAGCCTTCTCCCCTCTCTCGTGTGTGTGTGTGTGTGTGTGTGTGTGTGTGTTTTTTCCAATGAACAGATACGCATTCTCTTTCTCTCACCTGCCCTGCAAGTGAAAAGAACCCCCAAGCCCTCATAACATTATGTAACTATGACATCCACGTAGGTGAAAAACCTTCCCCTCGTTCTCTCTGTCCTGGTCTGGCTCATGCATCTCACACCTGATACGCGTGGGTGTTCTCCAGGTTTTGTCCTGGGCCTTCTTCTCTTCTCCCTCTTTCCTCTGGCTCATTTGTAGCCTCCTCAGCGCCCATGGTTAGTGCCTTCCCTGAGATTGCATCACCAGTGACCTCCTGGACGTTTCTAATTGAGTGTCACAGAGACACCTAAACTTGTGCGGGTCTGGATCAACTCGGCTTTTCGCCCCAGACATTTTGCTTTTCTCAACTTGGCTATCTGTGTCCAAGGGCCCACCACCTCCCAGGCTGCCGGGTCCACGCCTTCAGCCTTCTCCTCGCCGCCTCGCTCCCGTTACCCAGGGAACCGAGAGTGCTGCCAAGTCTAATCGGTCCTGCTTTCCTCTGCACACGGCTCCACCTTGGTTCAGGCCCTCAGCCTCCGCACTGCTTGCCGCCTTAAGAGCAGATCTGACAATGTCACTTCTCTCTGATGATGTTGATGACTATGATAGCAGCTAGCATTTATAGACTGCTTAAAAGTTGGCAAAATAGGTTACAAATATTAACTCATTTTATTCTCACAGCAGCCCTGGGAGCTGAGGCCTCTTGTTATCCCCGTTTTACCTATACAAAGGTCAAATGACTTGCCCAGGGTCACACAGCTGTAGGGTTGGAACTCAGGTCTTTCTGACTCCAGTTCCAGGACTTTATAACCACACCACCTAGTGGCCTAAATAAAGTGAAACACAGTTGCTCCATATATTGGAGGATAAAATAGAAATGCCTCTGTTTAGCCTTTAAAGTTATTCACAGCCTAACTCCTGCCTCTCTTTCTAGCCTCATTAGCTATTACTCGCCTTGCCATACTCTTCATTCCAGTCACATGGATCTTTTCCCCCCGGTACACACCCATGGCATGCGCAAGTCTTGGCACTGACCGTTCCCCATAGCTAGAGTTCATTCCTTCCTCAGCTCTGTCTGCTAGGATCCCTCCCTTCTTCAGGGCTCGGCTCCAGTATCGCCACCTACCTGGGGTCTTCCCTGACCCTTCCTTCCTCCTTGGTGTTGATCCTCTGTAGAGTTATGGGTACAATTACACAGGCTGTCTTCTCCAATCAAAAGCGAGCCCCTTGAGGGTAAGGCTGGGATGGCTCGGGTGCCCTGTACAGCACCTAGCTCTGAGTCTGGCACATAGTAGGTGTTTAATAAATGCTTAGTGATTGATCCAAGAAGTATATGTAAACAATACTGTAGTTTCCTGGGTCTGCTCAGCAGCTAGGTGGCACAGTGGCTAGAGCCCTAGCCTGGAGTCAGGAAAACAAGTTCAAATTCAACCTCAGGTACTTACTACCCAGGTGATCCTGGGCTAGGCACTTTCCCTCTGTTTGCCTCCGTTTTCTCATCTGTAAAATAAATGATAATATTACCTGCCTCCCGAAGTTGTTGTGAGGATCAAATTGTGAGAATCATTGTAAAGTGCTTAGCACAGAACTTGGCACATAGTACGCGCTGTGTAAATGTTAGCAGATATTAACATTCCTCAAGTGGAGGTAATTGAGGCACTACAGTATCTCCAGTGGCTAAATCAGAATTAATTATCTGGAGGTCTTCATTTCTAACCCTGGCTCCCTAGTAATTTATTTGGCCGTGCTGAAGTTCTCATCACGGCACAGAGGCCAGCTGAGGCTCATGAAGGCTTGGCCAGCAGAGCCCCCGGCAGCTCGAAGGAGCAGCTAGTCTGTCCAGGCTCGGAGAAGCTGGTCTCAGGGAGAGTAACCCTATTTATGTGTTCGATGTGTGTTGTTGTCATTAGCTTGTTTCAGTCGTGTCTGACTCTTTGTGACTCCATTGGAGGTTTTTTTGGCAGAGATACTAGAGCGGTTTGCCAGTTCCTTCTCCAGCTCGTTTTACAGGTGAAGAAACTGAGGCCAACAGGTTGAAGTGACTTGCCCAAGGTCACTCCATTAGTCGTGATTGAGTCTGGATCTGAACTCGGGTCTTCCTTGCTCCAGGCCTGGCACTCTATTCTCCGTGCCGCCTAGATGCACCATTCTTTCATGTTTATCTACTGAGATTTGCAGGGGGTAGGAGAATGTTGGGGCTGTGATCTGCCTTGTTATAGGGAGGAAATAATAGATTTCTGGAAGTATTAATTTAAGAGGCTGGATTGAATTTATGGTGTTTCAGAGCTGTCGGGAATGTGTTTTTCAGTGAGATAGGACTGATTGTGGCATCAACCCCAGGCTCCATCACAACGCCGGTGATGACCTGAGTGCAGCGCCCGTTTGGCAGCAATGTCCGTTAGTGGTGGGTGGCTCCAAGTGGCAGAAGGGCTTCACATGCCACACACAAGGGTTGGGGCTCAATGCAGGGGGAGTCAGGAGCCTCTGCTGATGTTTGAGCTGAAACAACCATCTCTGTGTGAGAAGGAGTATTGTTATGGTAGTGGCATGAGGGGGAATCCTGGAAGAGGGAAGACCCCGAGGAGGCCATCTGGTGCAGTGGTAGCCGGGGGAGTGGAGTGGACGAGGCTGGAGATGCTGCACATAAAATCCCCAGCCCTTGGTCACTGGGGGAGGGAGGTGGGCAAGGGGAAACTGACTTTGAATGGCATGAGTGTGGCCACGGAGTGTTGCCTGACTTGTAAACTCCGGCCTCCTGTTTTGTCTCCTAGATGCACCCGCTGGGACTCTGTAACAACAATGATGAAGAAGACTTATATGAATATGGCTGGGTGGGGGTAGTGAAGCTGGAGCAGCCAGACCTGGACCCGAAGCCGTGTCTCACTGTCCTCGGCAAGGTAAGAGCCAGCCCCTGGGGGGATGGGGGCCCTGAGGACACACCCTGTCAGCGAGCAGAACTTGGTGTGAATGCAATGCCTTCTTTTGGGCTGAAGTACCCACCCTGGCTTTTATAAGGGTTCATTTATTAGAATGTCCGTAGGATAGACTCCAAGGCCATCATTTATTTACTTTGAATTTAATGAATGTCAGAAACACTTAGAGATACAAAGCAGAACAGAAAAAGGTTATGGGGAACCATGATTTTTATGTACAACTTTCTTTTTAAAAATCTATACTTTTGGGCCAGCTAGGTGGTGTAGTGAATAGAGCTCTGGCCTTGGAGTCAGTAGGACCCGAGTTCAAATCCAGCCTCAGACACTTTGACACCTACTAGCTGTGTGACCCTGGGCAAGTTGCTTATTGCCTCACCAGATAAATAAATAAAAATCTATACTTTCAGCTGATTACTTTCCCATCTGTCCTGCATATCTGCAGATCCTTCTGAAATGCCTGCGGTTTCCTTGTGTATTTTTAAAGCTGCTTCAGTGAAGACTTGGTTTTTCTTTTGGCATCACTATTGCTAGCTTCCCCCCCTACCCCAGAATGGAGAAAACACAGTCCCTATAACAAATGAACGCAGTCCATCCTGTGGAGCAGGGTCTGGTGTTGTGCGGGATGAGGCAGGAGCGGGGGTGGAGCTGGGCCCGATCAGTGTATCGATCAGTGTTCTTCAGTCTTGCCGGGTTGGTTTCTTTACCCATATTCGTTGTGTTCTTGGCTTTGCTTACCTCACTGTGGATACCCTCTTAGCAAGGTGTGAACTGGAGAATAAGCGGCCTCTTGGGGGCGCCATCACTGCTGGCCCTCGGTGGAAATTTGCTGATGTGTTTGGAGACGGGAGAGTGGAGTGCCCAGAAGACCCTCAGGCGGGCTTTGAGAGACGAGCAGCCCATTCCTGCTGGGCCACAGTTTTACTGACTGTGTGCCTTTGGGGTTGGCAGCCCCAAGAAGCTGCCATTTGGGCAAATTTTGCCTTCCCCTTGGGGATGTGTGTGGTGCAGTCAGGGTGGGAGAGCTTTGGGGAAAACATCTTCACTCTCTGAGTTTAGGTAGGTCTTGGAAGGAGGGCAGAGTACATGGACTCAAGCTTTGAGATCATGACATATGCCTGTATTGGACATAGAGACCCTAGGACTGTGAGGTCAGGGGTGGGGAACCTGCGCCCTCCAGGCCACGTGTGACCCTCTAGGTCCTTGGGTCCCTTTGATTGAATCCTGTGAAGTTTAGATTCAGTCAAAGGGCCGCATTTGAGGACCTCGACAGCCACGTGCTTGAGGCCGCAGGTTCCCCACCCCTGGTGTAGACTGTCAGTAATGTGAGTTTAAACCGTGGCTTTTGGCTGCTTTGTTTAATCTGCATGGCATTAGACAGGCGAATAATGACTTGACCTCCAAATCTGTTGACTTATCTATAAAATGGACCTGGAGGGAGGGGAGGAGGTTGTACTGTGTGATTGACAAGGGGCTTTCCAAGCTCTCCATCCTAGGACGTCTGGGGCTTAGAGGGAAGTAGACACAGTGTTTGGACCTCGGATGCTTTTTGATTTGAAAACCTCCACAAAATTGGCCTAGCTCAGGTCCTGTGTGTTTGAAGGCTCTTGGTCTTGTGGGGGTCCTCTTCAGCTGAAGGTTTCAGAATACCTGTCAATCCTTTTGTAGCAGATAAACTCTGGTTTTGTGGTTCCTCTTCAGAACCCCCAGCTGAGGTCCGTGCCTTCTCTGTTCTTTCAGCGGGCTCCTTCGCTTCTTAATGTAATCCTTGGTTGGAATCCGCGATTCTCTTGAGTGGATTCTGGAAGTGGTTAGTTACCTCTGAAGGGTGGTCAGTGTTCACGCTTCTCTTGGAACCCCGATCTCCAGTGCTCCGGTGTTTGCCACGCCCCAGGAGAATGGCTTTCGTCTCACGCTCTACTGTGCTGTGATTCGCACGACTCTGGCTCAGCCGTTTTGTTCTCGGAGGGTCGGCGTAAGTGTGTGGTGGTGCTAGTCTAGGGCTCAAAGGAACGTGCCTCCTACAGTGTTGGGAGAATGGGGCCTTTGAAATGACGCTGAGGTCGTGGATATCTCCTTCCTGAAGTGGAAGGACCTACCTGTTCTCTGGTTTTCCTGGCAGAGCCTTGTGCCGTGGAGGTGGCTTGGCCGGAAGGCCTGGGCCGGGCAAACCTTTCAGCTTCTGTTAATGATCACACCCTGATGAAGTTCAGTCAGGCAGCATTTCTTGAATGCCTCCTCCTCTCTGACATGTTTCGGAACACGGGGAAGCGCAACAGGAACCTGCCTGGTGCCAGCAGAGACCTCTGGTGTGTTGGCTTCTCCTCGCCACTCTTTGGCCGGCCGTCAGTTGTGTAGGGAAGAAGAGTTTGACTTGAAGTCTTTTCTAAATAAAATCATTAATGGGGGAGGGAGATGGGACAGACAGGACGAGGCTCACTGAGTCAAGAAAACTTCCTGGTTGTTTAAAACCTGGCTCACGGCAGGTGATCTGATCAACGGGGTCTTTCTGGTTCTCTCTTTAATCTTCTTAAAAAGTTATTTTCAACTGCATTTTTAAAAAACTTTGCTGGGCGGTGCAGCAGTTAGAGCTCTGGGCCTGGAGTCAGGAAGACCCCAGTTCAAATCTGGCCTCGGACACTTAATAGCTGTGTGACCCTGGACAAGTCACTTAACCTCTGTCTGCCTCATCTGCAAAATGAGCTGGAGAAGGAAATGGCAAACCACTGCAGTATCCCTGCCAAGAAAGCCCCCAAAAGAGGCGAGAAAGAACGGGACACGACTGAAAAATGGCTAGCTGCAACAGCAGCAACAAGCCATGCTTTATCTTTGGTCTGAACCCAAGGGTGGATGGCATGAGGGTCCTGGGGAAGGAGAGGTATGGTGATGAGCTGAGATGCTCGTGCTTTTAATGCCGTTTTCCTTGGTTTCGCATGAGGAAGGTGGATGGGAAGGGGCCGTAAAGAGAATGGAAAAAATGAGCGAGCTGCTCTGCCAAGTAGGCCTGGGGAGGGGAGAAAAGCCCCTCCGAGTGAGCATCGAGACTTGCAGAAATCCATCTGAGGGAGGCGATCGGTTCCTCTCCAGCCGTGTCAGGCATTCTGGGAGAAGTATGTGGGGGGATGGGGGAGGGGAGGAAGAAGCAGAAGGATGGTGAGGGGGCGGCACAGGCAGGGGCCTCCTCTGCCTGGCCCATCTCCCCCTGAGGTGCCCCTGCTGCTCCCCAAACAAATGAACAAGCCAGCAGGCACCGTGGGAGAACTCGATTAAGGAAACGAAAAGGAGAAATTGTCAGGCATTAGAGTGCTTTAATAGGAGGAAAAAATATAGCAAAATCCTGGGATTCTCTGATCCCTCAGGAACTCAGATTCAGCTACATTGAGGGTACCAAACAAATTTAATGCACCTTGATCTCTTACTGAGTGCTTTGAAACTCCTTAGGAAAGCACCTGTAAATGTTTTTGTCATTGTCATCGAGTTGTTCAGTCACGTCTGACTCTCCACCACCCTGTGGGAGACGCAAAGATGGCTTCCGATCCGCTTGGGGAGTTCTTCGGATGCTGTGGGGAATGGGCCTCCCAGGTGCTCTAAGGTCAAGCTTAGCCAAGTGAGAGGGCCTAGGCACCCAGGGCATGCTGGCTGTGCCACTCCCTCGTTTGTCTGGCCTTGGGGGCATTTCTCCTGGGTGGACTTCAGTTTTACTCAGCAGTAAAAGGAAGGCCCATCTCTGCTCAGAGATTTTATGGTTCTAAGGACCATCACGAGAGTGTGATAAGGAGCCTCATTCTAGTCTTGACAATGTGTGTTTCCTAAAGTGTAAACTTGTGTGGCTGTTTGTCAAAAGTAAAGAATTCAACACTATAGAATTGGTTTAGAAGTGAGGGACTTTTGTGTGCCTCCGGACCATTCAGCTGGGTGAGGTAGAGGCAGCATGGGGGAGATTTGGGTTGGGCTGGGCCGGAAACTTTCTGGCTGGCTGCCTGTGGGCAAGTCCCCTCCCCTCCCTGGACCTCGATTTTCTCATCTATAAGACAGGGATAGGACTCTTTGTACTTTCTCCCAGTGAGGGAAGGGCATCTCCAGATAAGTGCTGGGGCTACCTAGGGGGTCCTTGTCATGACTGGCTTTAGTCGAACCCTTTGCCCAACTCTTGGAGCCATCATCTCACAGGGATTTTATGGAAGGGTGAATGACAGAAATACTAAACTGCTCTGAAATGCTGGCTTGTTGAGGTAGCTCAGATGGAATGGGTGTTTTTTCCAAACACGGCATAGTGGACACAGAGCCTGCTTCAGAGCTAGAGAGACCTGGGATCAGATCTGCACTCTGACCTGGGAAGGGCACTTGGCCTCCCAGAGCTCTTCAGTTGATAAGTCACAGATGAGCTGCCAGTCCCCAGGAGTAGAGGGGTGTCTCTGAAATCAAGCTGCAGCCCCTTTTCCTTTTGAAAGACAAAGACTTTTAAGTATGATCAGTGGGGATGTGGGCTTCATATGGCCGGGCTCTGTGTGGCATTACTGCATGCCGGGGTGTCTGTGTTGGAAGAGACTTCTTGTTCTCCCTCCTTCCCAAAGGGAGACAGCAGCCTGGCTCTGGGCCCAGACCACCCCCACCCCTTCGTGCCTACGGGACCACGGGCAGGTCTCTCCTCTCCTTCTCTGGCCTCCAGAGTTCTGATTGCTGAAATGGGCTCAGCGAGCCGACTGCTTAGCAAGCCATTACTCTAGAACTGGAAAACTCTCATGGTTTTAATGTTGGAAAAGCCTGTTTTAGCCAAAAGGTGCCCCTTATCACCGCCATACCTTTAGCTTTCAGAAAATTATTCATTGGTTACATGCAACCTGCAGGACAGGGTGCCCTAGTGGTTAGGGAGATAGAGCTGCCCAGGTCCCGGCCTCTGCGAGGCACACAGATAACAATGCAGAAAAGGGTTGGGAGAGGGAGAGGGATCCAAGGGATCTCACCTG